AGATATTGCAATAGATATAAGAGATGCTGATGAAATTTACAAAGATATTGTCACAGAAAATTAAATAATAAATGAGTCACCAAAGACTTCCTATAATGATGAAACTATAGCCATTGTTTTTTTAAGGCAACACATTATCTCATCTGATATGGAACATGACTCCTTCAATATACTAGATCGCAATGAAAGAAAATCAGCAATTCTTGAGTGATTTTTTTTTAAATTTATTTTACTCTTATATTATTTTACTTTTATTATTCTAATCTATTTTTGTATGTATTGATGTTATTTGGGAAATAAAAAATAAAATTTATTAAACAATTCTAAATACACTAATATATTATATTGACATTCTAAAGCATGTGAAATTGTAGAGGGATATATTTTTCAAATTTTATTTTTTTATGAATTTTGTTTAAGATAAAATTTTTTTCTATTCTTCAAGGTCTAATCAAAGTTGTTAAATTGAGTCCAAGCAGGATTAATTTTTAATATTGAGCAAATTTCATTATCAGATGCTACAAACACTTTTCTGATTTAATCAAGGAAAGACTTAATTCTAGTTTTAACTCAGTTTTTTTCGGAAATAAAAAAAAAATATAATGATCATAAGTGAGTATATAGTCAAAATTACATTACAAAAAGAACACAAAAGTTTTTTCTTCTTTTGGTTTCAGTAAACTTAATCTTTGTTGGGGGTTTTTTTCTTTCTTTTCTTTTGGTAGCACTAAATGTAGCAAATCAACTTAATTCTATAAATTCTTTTTGTACATAAGTTTTTTTTTAAAAAAAAAAAAACAAGATACAAAAATTTTAAAAAATTTTCTTAACCTATACGATGTTTTCCTATTAAGCCTTAAAAATACAAATATTTTTTATTATTAAAATAAACAGCCAATTTTAACTACAAACCAAGAACAAATTCATTAAAAATACTTTGAAAATATTTAATTTTTAATAATTTTACTTTGTTTATGCTTTTAATAATTGCAATTTTGATTGAAAAATATAAAGCATATATGTATACCATGAAATATGAATTTGTTAATTACATACATTATACAATTTTTCTCTTATAAATTATTGTAATATTCCTTACAAGGGCACTACATTGCACAAAAAAATAATTCAAGTAACACCGTTCTGTTTCATTTTTATTAGTATATTAAAATTGTGTAGATTAAAATTGTGTAGATTAAAATTGGTATATTAGAATTGTGTAGATGTCAACCTAGAGAGTATAGCATAAAATTTCAAATTTTTAAAAAAAATGTTCATATCAAATGCAAATAAATTATTATGCTCAACTTTGTGTGCAGCTTGTTGGACTACCGAAGCAGGGGTGCCATCCTCTCTGCAGAGGTTCAAAATTGTGACGGCATGTCTTCGGATCATCCTTAGGGATGTTTCCCAGACTGTCGTCAATAGCCTATTGCGACGTAAATGAACTACAACAGCAAATAAATTATTGGAGAACTTCCACAGCCTAAAATTAAATTATCCTCTCATAAATTGTTTGCATTTCAATTATATGAAATACCTGAGCACTTTTTTTTTATACTTTACAATTGTTTTATATGAATGAAAAAGAATTTGCAATGAAAGATTACTCCAGTGTTATGGCATCCTATTAAGGACAAGTTTGAGAAAGGTTTTGTAAAAACTATTTTTAGAAATTTTTATAATTTGAATTTGTTATTAAAATTGTGAAAGGAATATTTTCTGATTTCGAAGTAAAGATTTATAACCAAGTTTCGATTCTGGTTCGTAGAGGTTTCAGCCGCCAGCAAAGGTGAAATGAATGCATATGGCAACCCTTTAGCAAGTATTTGTGTCCTAATTTAAGTATAAGCATGTGCTTAATACTCAAGAATCAGGGCCGGATTAACCTATAGACACACTAGGCACGTGCCTAGGGCGTACGAAATTCAGGGGCCTACGTAAAACTTGGGAGAAAAATTTTTTTTGACAAAAACAATTTAGCTTTAAAAACAACAAGTGTATTTTGCACAAAATTATGAAGACACAAATAAAAATATAATATTTTTCGGATAGAGCAGATAAAGTTCAGATAAAGATTGCAGATAAAGTTCGATAAACAAATTTGTAAATTAAAATCCATATTAATAAAAATGTTAAAAAAAATATGCAAGAAAATTTTTGTATATATTTTGTAAAGAGGGGAAGAGTGGGGGGAAGGAGGGGAAGGCCCAAAAACGTCTATGCCTAGGGCCTACGAAAGGTATAATCCGGCTCTGTCAAGAATGTTTTCTGAATAAGGGTCTGAATTGCTTTTTTGTGAAAATAACTACAGAATACTTCGAAAGAATAAAAGGATTTGCTCTAAATACATATACTTTTCAAGCTCTTCTAAAGAAAGTTATGGAATTAAAATGTCCTAAATGAAATTAGGTTGTTTCTGAAAAATTCTAAGCTGAGTTGCTTTAATTCAGAAAAAATAAATCAAATTTAACTATTAAAGAAAAAAATTCATTGATCAATTTTAAGTTTAAATATAATTAACTTTAAGCACAGCATAGTAGAACAGATTTTACTGTACTATTTAAGAGCAAGAAAAGTAAGCAAGAAAAGTGCAATTATTTTTGGTATATTTTTAAATATCAAGAAGAGTAAAAACAATTATCAATATAGTTGTTTTCATGAAAAAAATTTTATATGAAGGCAATAAAAGCTCATCTGTATTTTCAAATATGCTCAGTAAGTTACACTATAATGCTATTTTTATAATCTACTTCAGTTGTATATATGTCTGTTATATTAATATTTTCATCCTAATTTTCTTCGTCTTAAAGAATAAAATATAAAAGAAACCTCATCCGACCCTATGTAGGGGTTCACAACCTGCAACAGTTTTTGAACAAAAATGAAAGAAAAAAAAATTTAAATAAAAAGGGGATATTTCTGTATCGTGATAAATCTCAACAACAACAATTGCCAAGGAGGCTAAAAGATTTTAAACTTGTAAATTTAAAAAGAAAAAAACATGTAAGTGTTTGTTTGAAGTGGTTACAAGTTATACTTTTTTAGTTGGTGTCGTTCTGTGATATTTTATTTTAGTCTCGGGACCACTGCCCGGAAGTTGCCAAATTTGACGATTACTCTGTCACAGCTTGATACAAAAATCACCCCAATAAAAAAATGGCTAAAACTTTGATTTGCACCTTTGAGCAACTAGTAGTGGGTTATTCGAAATTAACACTTATCTCTTATTCAATTTATATGAGTTGTGACCATTAAGACAGTCTCTTCAGCTTTGAATTAAAACTACCTAACTAAATTTAAAAAATTATATTAAATTAGTTTATTGTAGCCTAAGCAACATATTAAACATGTGAGAGCTGTCATTACAAATAAGATTATTAAACCAGAACATATACTAATAAGNTTCAGGCGGGCAGAAATAAGCAAGCGGGCAGAAATAAGCAACTTCCGGTTTGTATGAGGGCCGAAATAAGCAACTTCCGGTCTGTATGTGGGCAGAAATAAGCAACTTCCGGTTGGGGCAGAAATAAGCTCCGGTTGACTATGACGTCACTTCCGTGTCTATAGTGCCCCACATACTACTGATAATGGTGACTTGAATGTTACGTTCAACTTAAGCTAAAGCACTGTAACAAATAAAATATTAAAGTTATACTTTTTTAGTTGGTTTCGTTCTGTGATATTTTATTTTAGTCTCGGGACCACTGCCCGGAAGTTGCCAAATTTGACGATTACTCTGTCACAGCTTGATACAAAAATCTCCCCAATAAAAAAAATTGTTAAAACTTTGATTTGCACCTTTGAGCAACTAGTAGTGGGTTATTCAAAATTAACTATCTCTTATTCAATTTATATGAGTTGTGACCATTAAGACAGTCTCTTCAGCTTTGAATTAAAACTTCCTAACTAAATTTAAAAAATTATATTTAATTAGTTTATTGTAGCCTAAGCAACATATTAAACATGTGAGAGCTGTCATTACAAATAAGATTATTAAACCAGAACATATACTAATAAGGAGACCTGAATAAAATATTAAAACTAGAATTTAAGTTATTGTATTGATTGCAGATATTTCTTTATATGTCTACAATTATCAATAACATTCTCTTATATCATCTCTCTTTAATACTTTTTTATCTCTTATATCTCTCATCAAAATCTCAAATCAATATTAAGTTTTCTCTTAAATCTCTCATCAATATTTTTTTAAGACATCTAACCTGTCAACAATTTCAACAGCTTTGAAAAGAAATTTCTTAACAAATGAAGAATATTATAGACATTATTAATCAATAATTGCATCAACAATTTATTGATAAAATAGGTTAAATTGGTATATTAATACATTGTAAAAGTAGATCATTTATTTATATGGAGATGTATAGCAGCATAGTTGTAAGAATACAATTTTTTAAAAAAAGTTAAATATATTTAAATACTACTTTCTACAAAAAGCATATAATTAGACAAGAATTTTTTCCGAATAAAAGTTTAACTTTTAGTATAGAAATATTTTTTTACTAAGCAGTCAAATTTACTTACCCTAATTCAAGTCCAGGCAAAATTTTCTTCAACATCAAATTGCAATTTCAAATCAAATCTAGAAAATACAGATACAATTAACCATTGTAAAAGCAACATAAGTAACTATTTGCATATATAACAGACTGTAAATCCATACGAAATTTAAAAAGCAATCCGTTTCAATTACAGATGGTAAAATCATTCGTAATTTATGTAGCTACAGTGATTTAAGCATTTAATTGCGAAATCATCAGCTTAGACTAGAATTGTATAGTAGATTTTTTCTTTTTAATAGTAAGTCTTCTGCTATAATATTCTCTTACCTAAACTCTAAGACCAGTGACCTTCCTATAGTTCGATTACAGCTTTGAATATTATCTTCCTACCCAAATTTAGAAAATTATAGATAACATTAATATTATAAGCAATATGATAAAATGAAATAATATTACAAATTTCGGATTGTGCAAAGGAAACTTATCGCCACAACTATAGCGAAAATGCGTTGTTGTAGTGTAGATGTATGTAGAGGGGGGGTTGACACGATCAAAGTACTTTGATCTAAGTAAGCGCGCAATCAAAGTAAGTCATAAAAGTAAAGTTGATCAAAGTAAGCGCGCGCATTCACCAGTAGGGAAATATTTTTAGGGAAATGTGACGATTTAGAAGAAGATGTTTTTGTTTACAGGGAATATGTTTATTTTGAACCTTTCTTTCAAGAAATCTAGACGTACTGTACTAATAGGATTTGAAAACTTCTCTATATTATCGGGTAAGTGAGAATTTCTTCGTTTATAATCAACTATATGTGCTTTTAAAATGAATATTACGTTTTCTATTTTAAATACTACTAATTATATCACATACTAATATACGTTATACTAATGTATATATGGTATAGTTGTGTAGTTAATAGATTATTCGAAGTATTTCTGAACTGAATAATCTGAAATAAACACAAAATATGTATTCCATTCCTAATAGTTCATTTATTCCCGATCCGTTTGTGTATTAATAATTTTTATTAAAGTTTATAAAATATTTAGTTAAACTTTTTTTCAGCTCTATCATTTTATAGTACCTATAATTTATTGCTTAACTTTTATTACTGTGTAGATATTAATACAGATTATTTTCTGTCAAAATTTTACATAGGTAATTGTTGTTTTTGGTTACTTTCTGTCTATATTTAATTAAAGAAAAATTGCTTACAGATAAAATTTTGTGTCATGATAAGTGTGGAATTTTAAAAACATGAAGATCCATATGTCTCATTTAGGAATTAGATTAGTTGTCAATTCTATATTACAATTCAGCCATTTTAAATTCAGCCATTCTAGCTTAATATTAAGATCTTTTTTTATTGGTTTGATCTTTTTATATTGGTTTGATACAAATTTGCTTGAGAATTTTAAAATGTCTGTTTGTTTGACTTTATCTTTTTTGCCAAATGTCTTATGTTTTATTTAACCAGATACACACTAGCTTACTTGACACTAAAATTGTTTCATACAAAGAATATCTTATTTCCATGTATAATAATTTAAAATTATTCATGAGTTATTTTCATGAGAATTTTATCTTGATGAACTATAGAAAGTTTTGTTGTTGAATAAAAATGTTTAATATTTCTTTAGTCAACTTCATTTTGGACTGTTTGTGATGCTTTATGCTATGCTACAGTTATTAAATTGAAATCCTATGGACTTACTTTTATTTCTATTTACTTATGTAATAGAATAGTAAATTTTTTTTTGTTCAAAGTTACATTATTTGCTCTAAGAAAGAGCAAAAAAAATTTTCTTTTTGGAAACATATGATATGCAAAATCTTAAATAATTTGATTCAAATGTGCTAGTTTTACGAACTTTACAATACTTAATATATACAGTGTGTTCTCTAAATACCGCTTTTGATGTGTATTTTTATAATCCTTATCTAAAAGGAAAACAAAAAGTGTGTATGTTACAATTAGTATAAAAGTATGGGGAAAACATATGCACTATTGAAATCTGACTATTTACAGTTAAAAAATGTAGATGTTCTTAACATCAAAAGAGGTTTAATTGGGTGTTGAAACTTGAAGATGTGTTTTTTATACAGTCAAATGTGTCTTGTTGTATATTTCTTTTGTCTTCCAGAAAAGTGATTTGTCATTTTTCGACTGTGTTTTTTTTTTCCTTCTTTAAATACTAATTCGCTAATACTAATTTTTTGATAAGGTATTTGAAAAGACATATTAAGAGCAATTCTCATGAAATACCACATATATAGCCTATGTCTCATTGTGCTCATCAAATTCAAGTTTTGTCAAAGTAAATTTACACTTTTAATCTATGGATTTTATAAATATTGTTTTAATATTAATGAAGAGTTGATACTAATTTTGTTACTTGATTGCTAACTTCATTCTCCTCAAAAATATACAAATTGGAAGTTACAGTCAGCACAATTCAAGTGCTCATTAATAGGCAATTTATTTTTCAGCCGTAGGAAGTTATTTCTTTTCAAATTTAGTAAAGTAGAAACTTTGTGTATTTTGAGCATAGTTTAAATTTGTTTATTATTTTTTCTAAATGAATATTCAATAAGGATAGTTTAATTTTATGTGGTGTAGACCATTTTGAAACACTACTATTACTTTTAAACAATTTTACTGAAATATATTAAAAAATTCAGAATTTTTTTATGTTTGAAATTGTGTTAGAATTTTGTGTAAATTTTAAGGGGGAGTAGTCGAAGTTGTATTAGGAAAAAATTTGATATTATTAGTTGATTGTATTAGGAGAAGTTGATGGCGTAGCAAATGTTAATCACTAATTCCATAGAAGACACTAAAAAATCGAATGATAATAATGTTTTGTTTTTTTTTTAAATAACGGCAGGCACTGAACTTTTCGTTCCTCGCCATAGAAGATGCCGTAATTGTTACTCATTTAGCGTTACCCTGTGGGCGCCTGTGAACCAAAGTTTCACGGAGGCGACCAACGTTACCCACGCCATACTGCCACATACCCGTTCATAGGGTGGGCCACATTCACACAACAGAAGATATATCACACAACAGGCCGGCATGATAATAATGTAATATAACAGTATAAAAAAATTAAATCAATTGTAAAGAAAAGATTTATTAACCTTTTATTTATTTATTTATTTTTTCAAATATTTTTTTTTTTTTTATCTCTTACAGGTTGGCAGAATTTATTCTTCGTCTCCTCTTCTGCATTTAAAATAACCTGCATTATATCACAGCCGGAAATAATTACAAGCTTTCATTTTCTAAAAACCATAAACAGAAGTAAAAAGAGCAGTAGTGAAAGTGTTCAGAGAAAAATGTTTTGACCTTAGGGAGCTTTCATAATCATTTATAACTTTTTATCTTAATTTACTTAATTACCTTGATTAATCTTAATCTTATCAGGACTTTTATAATCTTAATTATGTATTAGTTATTTTTGTTCTAAAAATTTTTGGGGGTTATTGTGGTAGCAATTTTTAAAAAAAAAAATTCTTGTACTGGATCTTTCATTGGGTTAATAACATTTTACTATGGCCTATTCAAAATTGTTATACAAAAGTTTTTAACTATATTTTCTAAACATTAAATCTGAGGAAATTTGCTATTATATATTCTTTGTAGATTAAAATTCAAATTATATTTTTATTATTAAACAGTTCAAGATTCTTTCTTTAAATGTAAACTTCTTCTAATTGTTTTATATTGTAAAATTTTAATGTTGGTACTGCATAATGTATATGCATGTTACATAAAATATTTATAAATCTTTGGGACAGTTTTCTTCAATCTTTTTGTTCTTATTCTCTTCTTTTTAAGTACTAGAAATTAGTCAAAATTGTTTATGGCTGAGAGCTTATAAATTTCTTCATTCATAGTTTCAGTGTATTCCATTAAAATTATTTCCTTAAACTAATATGTTTAATTTACTATAAAAATTATTTCATTCAATTTAATATATTGTTCTTTCCCATTTCAATTGATTTGTAATCCAATGATGTTTTTACCAATAAAATTTTTTAAACTAAGAACTATTGCTTGTATGTTGCAAAAAAATAAAATTGGATTTCAGTGGAGTTGTATAATAAATTTTATAAATAGTATATTTTTCTGTATTAGATGTAAAAGGTTTCAGCATGCAAAATTTATAGAAATCAATACTTTTCTTGAAGTAAATGATACTCTATAAATAACAATAATAAACGATGTAGGAATCAAATAGCAAATGCCTAAAGTTATTGAGTATCAAAGAATGTTTCTAGATCTTTCTGGAAGCTTTTTCTAAAGTTGCTAAAGTTTCTCGGCAAATATCACTGAAATCCAAATTTATTTACATTTATTGAAGCAGTCTTTTTGCTTTAACTATTTTAATTCATAATTTAAAATCAACAAGTCCAATAGATTACCAGTAGGACCAGGTTTTACTTTTGATATATGGCGAGGGATGTCAGAGAAGAATGATGAAAAATTAAAGTTTATTTATGTATAATTTATTTTTAGAAAAAGAAAAAATTTTTAAACCCTATATCTATTTACAATATCAGTTGTTAAAAAAATTGGCTTTAAAAGAGCATGATATAGCATAAGATTTTTTGTAATGAGTTTGATAATAATTATTACAAAATAATAGCTTGCATAAGGAATATAAATCGAAAAACTTGTTTGAGTAAATTAACATTCTTTAATGATGATGGTAACAAGTGGTGTATATATAACACAATAAAAACAAAAAAGATTACGAGAATAACAAAGAAAATAAGAAAAAATAATAGCTTTATTTGCTACACAAAAGTTGCAAGTACATAGAATTACTAAAATGCGTCAAAAATACAGAGAGAAAAATATAATAAAAATTCATGAATAAAGAAACTATTAAATGAGAAGAAAAAATTTAATACGTAAAAAAGAACACATTATTATTATAAAGAATAAATTAAAAAGCCGGAAAACAAAAACAATGAAAAAATATGATATATATTTTTGTTTTCCGACTTTTTAAATATTTAAAACTATTTTAACCCAATTAATTTGAATAATTAAACCAGTAAAGGTATAAGAAGATTAATGGAAACTCCTTTAGTGCTTCAAAAGCAATTAAACTGGTTTTGATATTCTAATTTTTGCATACATAGTGATTTAAAAATGTGTATTTGTCATTTTATTTAAGACATATTTCAAAGTAAAGCTATTACTCATATGCGAATAAGGGCGGTATTTTTTTAAATTTTGAATAAAATTATAATAGCCACCAAGGTAGACCATTTAGTGGAGAAAGAAAAGACATACAGATGGAAAAATGCACATTCTAATACCAACAAAAGATAATTTGACTCCTGTGCCCTTTGCATTCAAAGTGTGAAACCCGCATCAGAAACTAAATAAGAAAGAAATATGGAAGGCTACCAGCACTTGGGTGCTTTATTTACATCACTCATATGCGAATAAGGGCGGTATTTTTTTAAATTTTGAATAAAATTATAATAGCCACCAAGGTTGACCATTTATTGGAGAAAGAAAAGACATACAGATAGAAAAATGCACATTCTAATACCAACAAAAGATAATTCAACTCCTGTGCCCTTTGCACTCAAAGTGTGAAACCAACACCTCCTAGAAGTAGAAAGGCCTCAGCACGGATCAATTTAGTAGTCCGATGTGACGAAGTTAACTGCGCAGTAGACGAAAAATAAGAAAGATGTCATTACGTTAGGGGTGCTAAGCTGCGCAGCGATTGAAAATATAAAACATGTCATTACGTTTGGACTACTAAGGGATATTTATGGTAACCCGTGCTGAGGCCTGTTCTTTCTAGGAGGTGTTGGTGAAACCCGCATCAGAAACTAAATAAGAAGGAAATATGGAAGGCTACCAGCACTTGGGTGCTTTATTTACATCACACAGCAGCTGCACAATGGGCGACGATCTGGGAAACATTCCTGAGAATGATCCGTAGACATACCATCGAAATTTTGATCCTCCGCAGAGGGGATGGCTCCCCTGCTTTAGTAGCCCGACAATCTGCTCGCGAAGTCGAGCACTTTACTGTAGAACATTTTAACGAGGACCAATACCGCTCGCCCTGGGTCCCTACGCAGGCTGCTCAAAGTGGTCAATCCACCCGTTTGATGACCGGAGCCAGTGATGCTTGATTGAGGTATTCTACTGGAAACTGTGTCTTTACGATCAGTCCACAGCGGGACTACTAGCACAAGTATTGTACAGAATGTAATGGAAATGGTTCCTCAGAGATCGCTAGCACAATATTCAAAATTACGATTTATGTGACACTCCAAATTCACCTGCTATTTTTCATACAGTGAGAATGGGCTTGAGAAATAATTATTTTGAATTTTTTCTGCGATTAACTTGATTGTAACCGCGAACGTCAGGTTAGGATCGAGCTTTCTCACCCCACGAGACTGGAAAAGTTCTATTTCACGCATCTTTGAAATTGACCCTTATCATTATTAGAATCCTCTTAGGGAAATACGTCATAGATAACAATCAATTACCGATACCCACAATTTGCACAATTATCGCTGTTTGAATCAAAGTAGAAATTAAAGTTGAACATCCGTCAAAGTAAATTACGTCACATCAAAGTTAGAGACAATTACAAATACAGGGAACTTTTTAAATATTTATTTAATTTCAAAAACAATAATTTTCCTCTTTTCATTAATATAATCACAGGGTTGGTTAAGCTGCTTATATCAATGGCTAATAAAATATGATTTTATTTTTTAAACTTCATTAAATAATTTTAAAATTCGAATGAATTTTAAAAGCACACAGGCCGAGATTATTCATTTGATATATCATACTCTCAACAACAGTGCGTGACTTTTTTTTGCCTTCGCATTTTCCCTAAAATTTCGCGGTTCCCATTTTTGTTTTATTTACTTTTATGACTTACTTTGATTGCGCGCGCTTACTTTGATCAAAGTACTTTGATCGTGTCAACCCGCCTTAAATAAAACAAAAATGGGAACCGCGAAATTTTAGGGAAAAGCGAAAATGCGAAGGGGAAAAAAAGTCACGCACTGTTATTGAGAGTATGATATATCAAATGAATAATCTCGGCTTCTGTGTTTTTAAAATTCATTCGAATTTTAAAATTATTTAATGAAATTTAAAAAATAAAATCATATTTTATTAACAATGGACATAAGCAGTTTAACCAACCCTGTAATTATATTAATGAAAAGAGGAAAATTAATGTTTCTGAAATTAAATAAATATTTAAAAAGTTCCCTGTATTTGTAATTGTCTCTAACTTTGATGTGACGTAATTTACTTTGATGGATGTTCAACTTTAATTTCTACTTTGATTCAAACAGCGATAATTGTGCGCAATTGTGGGTATCGGTAATTGATTGTTATCTATGACGTATTTTCCTAAGACGATTCTAAAAATGATAAGGGTCAATTTCAAAGATGCGCTAAATGAAATCTTTTCAGTTTCGTGGGGTGAGAAAGCTCGATCCTAGCTTCACGTTCGCGGTTACAATCAAGTTAATCACAGAAAAAATTCAAAATAATTATTTCTCAAGACCATTCTCACTGTATGCAAAATAGCAGGTGAATTTGGAGGGTCACATAAAGCGAAATTTTAAATATTGTGCTAGCGATCTCTGAGGAGCCATTTCCATTACATTCTGTACAATACTTGTGCTAGTAGTCCCGCTGTGGACTGATCGTAAAGACACAGTCTCCAGTAGAATACCTCAATCAAGCATCACTGGCTGCGGTCATCAAACGGGTGGAGTGACCACTTTGAGCAGCCTGCGTAGGGACCCAGGGAGAGCGGTATTGGTCCTCGTTAAACTGTTCTACTGTAAAGTGCTCGACTTCGCGAGCAGATCGTCGGGCTACTAAAGCAGGGGAGTCATCCCCTCAGCGGAGGATCAGAATTTCGATGGTATGTCTAAGGATCATCCTCAGGAATGTTTCCCAGACCGTCGTCTGTTGCCCATTGTGCGACGTAAAAAAAGCACCCAAGTGCTGCAAAGGGCACATGAGTCGAATTATTTTTTTGTTGGTATTAGCATGTGTATTTTTCCATCTGTATGTCTTTTCTTTCTCCAATAAATGGTCTACCTTGGTGGCTATTATAATTTTATTCAAAATTTAAAAAAATACCGCCCTTATTCGCATATGAGTGATGTAAATAAAGCACCCAAGTGCTGGTAGCCTTCCATATTTCTCTGACATCTCTGACATCCCTCGCCATATATCAAAAGTAAAACCTGGCCCTACTGGTAATCCATTGGACTTGTTGATTTTAAATTATGAATTGAAATAGTTAAAACAAAAAGACTGTTTCAATAAATGTAAATAAATTTGGATTTCAGTGATATTTGCTTGAGATAAAGCTTCCAGAAAGTTCTAGAAACATTCTTTGATACTTAATAACTTTAGGCATTTGCTATTTGATTCCTACATCGTTTATCATTGTTATTTATAGAGTAACTTTTACATCAAGAAAAGTATTGACTTCTATAAATTTTGCATGCTGAAGCCTTTTACTTCTAATACAGAAAAATATACTATTTATAAAATTTATTATACAACTCCACTGAAATCCAATTTTATTTTTTTGCAACATACAAGCAATAATTCTTAGTTTAAAAAATTTTATTGGTAAAAACATCATTGGATTACAAATCAATTGAAATGGGAAAGAACAATATACTAAATTGAATGAAATAATTTTTATAGTAAATTAAACATATTAGTTTAAGGAATTAATTTTAATGGAATACACTGAAACTATGAATGAAGAAATTTATAAGCTCTCAGCCATAAACTATTTGACTAATTTCTAGTACTTAAAAAGAAGAGAATAAGAACAAAAAGATTGAAGAAAACTGTCACAAAGATTTATAAATATTTTATGTAACATGCATATACATTATGCAGTATCAACATTAAAATTTTGCAATATAAAACAATTAGAAGAAGTTTACATTTAAAGAAAGAATCTTGAACTGTTTAATAATAAAAATATAATTTGAATTTTAATCTA